TTTTTTTTTTTTATTTAAGAATTCGGGTTTTACTTGTTTTCTACACTGATTCAAGTAATTATACCCTAATTCACTTCCTCATTTTGATGTTTTTTTTCTTAAAAACACATATTATTTTTTCATTCCCTCGTTTCGTTCCCTATATCTATTATCATTAAGTTAAGAATATTGAGTTAATTAATTTTAAGTGACACGAATGATCCTGTTTCATCTTATCTGAGAAAAAAATTACACGAGTTTAGATGGCTCCGTTATAAACTTACTCCGATTGTTATCTTCTCTTTCTTCATAAGTTGCTTCACGAAATCTAAAATACACGATATTTTTTCACGCACACTCGTTGCTATATCAAAGACTAAGTGTATCGTGATGATGCACAATATAAATTCCATATTGAATTTTTACGTGACATAGAAAATGATCTTACATTTCTTCCAGGAAGAAAAATTAGTTGAGTTTAAATCTACTGGTGCGAATCGGCCTCGTACCAGCGATCCATACTCCGGGGATGAAAGAGTCCGATCGACGCTCTCCTTAATTCGCTGCTTCAAGTAGATGGAATCACGATCGATATGGAAAGCGTAGAGAAAAGACGACACTCGGGGGAGCGTTTAATATCCAAATGTGAGAAGATGTTGGCGCGTGAAATGGATGAAGAAGCCCAACGCCATCGAACAGCGGCGACCGGTTCGATCGATCGCCTAATAGGAAATTCCCTTGACATCGGTATCTGCAATAGGCCACGGCATACGGAAATTCCAAATGGCACGAGAGATGATTTATTACGGAAGTACGGGATCAGCAGACGGCTCAGTTTCAATCTGATGTGTTTGATGCACTAGCGAATTAATTACTAATACGAGAAGTCGACGATACTAAATGCACGACGTATCACCGGCACTGCATTTGTCGAGCGAAACGCACGGCGCACCGGTTGCTGATTACCACGCATTACCAGTCGCTTCATGTTAATCGAGATGCGTATAATGTTGTCTTACGGTTACGCACAACGGTAAGGCTCTCCTATGGTTGTATATTTTGTGGAATTTATTTCTCGAATCTTTCCTCGTCCGGAAGATCGATTGGGACGGACTTTTGTTGGCTCTTGCAAATGAGCAACGATGTTCCAAAATAATGTATCGTACGTTATTATAAGTTCTTTTTCTTAGATTGTTTAGATTGTTATGAGCATTTATTTTGCGACCTCAAGACACTGAAAATGGACAAATTTGGCAAAGTTCTATTTAACACAGAATATACATATTTATTTAAAAAATACATTTACCTATCTGATCGAAATAAGAAACAAAAATACTACGTAATATTCTAATTACACAGTGATGGTTTATCGTACTCGATAAATCAATTTGTGAAGTAACACAGCTTCTTCAATTAACTCCCACCAACTGCGGACTCAATTTTCATATTTTTCTATACGAAATCACACATACGCAAAATTCCCATCATTAAGTGCGACGGAAGAGAAAGAAGAATGAAAGTAAGACATCCGTCGTCATCCATCAAAATTAACAGAACACGATTCGAGTTGGCCGCCCTCGAGGGCTGATCAAAGTTGATCGGCAACAGTTCGGAACAACCGAATTCTTGACTCGACTCTCAAGGATCAATGTCAACGATCGAAACGGCGGCGCGTGACAGGGAAGTCTGAAAACATCGGGATAAATTCGTGGTTCCCTTTAACTCGTGGCGCAGCCACCGCTGCGCGGGCCTGGCTTAGCACATTGCCAGGCTGCGTTCACCCACACATGAATATTCAGTCACGCTTTACATACATTGAATATGCATCGCAGTCCTTCCTTCCCTCTTAGGTCATTTACAAGATGCAGATACGCCGAGCTACCAGCACCGTTACCGACCATTCTAATAGAATAACTCGCGCTGTGTGTTTTACAGAAAACTATCCACCCTGTCCTCGTCCTACCTGAATCATCGTCGCCATACTCTCCTCCTTTACGCTCCCTTTCACGCCAGATTCCCTCTCGCCGAGGCGACCAAGGGCGCTCCCTTTCCGATTCTCCGACGGAAGGGCTGGCCCGTAACTCGGCCACGCTACTTGCCATCGATTAAGTAATTATCGAGCGAGCCGCCGCGAGAACTGGCAAATTAGAGAATCGCCGAGAGAATATCAAGCGAAAGCGGCGATTCTATCGGCGACCCCTTCCCGTTGTTCTTGTGATTAACGAGTGCCACCGAAGCCTGAGATCAGGCCAATGGAACGCGCCTTTGTGCTCGCGGAACGAAGGAAGGAAGGAGTACGGTGTTGCTCATTGTTTGAACGAACACGTTCTGACGCGGATCGTTGTTTCAATGAAGTTTCGTTGGTTGATTGCTTGCGGATGTTTTCGTTTATTTGCCAAGATAATTGCGGATCGATTACTTGGAAATTAAGAATAGGAGAGGTTCGTTTGAGTTAGCGTTTGACAAGCTCTTGGCTTGAAACAAGAAGATGCCTCTTTGGAAAGGATTTTTCTTTAGAAAGATGCAGACTTTGAATATTACTTTTTCAAGAATTTCAAATTTAATTTCTTTTTTTTTTTTTTTTTTTAAGAAACGAAGTCTTAAACGAGAACGTTTTATTCTCCTTCTCGACTTACTTTTTCATGTAGATTCACCCCTTTATCGATTGGCAAACATTTTCCAGGTAAAATTAAATCGTTACTGAGACAATGTTTTTCAAATTTCTCCAAAAATATGTATGTATATATAGAATATTTACTTGGAGGAAATCAAAGTACATAAACTCACACATTATTTGAAGAGTCACCGGGTTACTGGCAGTTTTCCCTTCGCTGTTGGCAACAAGACAAGTGTAATCACCCGCCGAGTATCGAGTTATACGCTGAAGAACTAGAGAATGATCGCTGAGAACGATACCTGCCGTGGCATTGTTTTTCAGCTCCTTGCCCTGCAACAAATAGTTCCATTTCGTTCCAATATCTTGCTTTCGAACAATATAAATGTATTGTAGTAAATATCCAATATATAATGGAAATTTATTATTGTGCAATTGTTTATCGATCATTTAATCGTAAAAGTTATTAAACCTATTAGTAATTTTTTCAAATGTGGTTAAATAGACAGTGATGTAGGATGAATATATGAAACGCAGACTGTAAAACTTGAGGATATTTTATCTAATGTAACAAATAGAAATTTTTCTACATAAAAATCTGCATAAAAATTCGCACTCTCGTTGTAAGAAATTAGATTTTACAATCAAAATGTTACATCTCGTTTACCTTCGAGCGAAATTTTAACAAGATTGTCAAAAAATATGAATATTTCTCAGATTAGTAGCGTTTATAACATTTTCTTTCTCAATACGATACGAAACCATAAGAAACAAAATAAAATTTGTAAGAGAGATACCAATTTTCCAATCGTAAAATGACGCACGTTATTTTGCCAAGTAAAAGAAACGATCGAAGCATAACCTAAACCAGTTACTCGTTTTCTATCAGAAGGCCTTCAAGACAAAGCATTAATGGCGTATCACGTAGAAACATACGTCTTTGAACCAGGCAAGCTTGTACACTTTCGGATTGGCCTTAACCGAGCACTCGAAGTAGACGTCGTCACCCTCTTTGATATCATCGGGATTCAAGGTCTTTCCCATCTTCAAAGTGACTACCGGCTGATATTGCACGTCCAGTCTCCACTTGTCCTCCAAAGCGCTGCCAGGAATAGCAAGATTCTCCGCCCGACAAGTTAAGTATTTGCCATCGTCGTCGATGCTTGGCACGAAACTCAGCACGCTGAGGCTCTCGTTATTTTCCAGCGGGTACTGCCAATAAAAACCAGCCCTCACTTTAGCTAGATCGTGAAAAACCATTGAACGCTTTCGTGCGTGGAATACGAAGAACGAGAAAGCGAGTGTATTAATTACGGAATATGAATAACGACTTATACGACGAGCAGTATGAATCGAATATTCGAATAGGCACGTTTCGATATTTTCAGATGTGAAACTCGTTTGTACATATTTTTTTCATGTCCAACTGATTCAATATCGAAGTATATTCTTTATAAATTATTTCTACGCCTAACTGCCGCAACAAGCAGTATCATCTATAGATTACGTGCGTTCTGTAAAACATTTTGACATTTTATTAACACTCGTCGCGTCACATTCGTGAAATTACATTCATATCCACAGGATATGATTCACGTTCGTACACGTGAGAATCTGAAAATGCATATGCAAGTTACAAGGACAATGCAGGACCTGCGTAGAAAATAGAAAAATAAGATCAAATAAAAACCTGACACTGTATACCGTGCCACAAAGGGTTAATAAACAGATCTCGCAGAAACACTGCTGCCGCCTCCTCCTTCTCCTCCCCTTCCCCTCTCCTCCTGCCCAGCAAGGCAAACGAAAGCATCCGAGCGATTTGTCACTGGTTTAATATGAAAATCCATTCGGCAGCGGCGCGCATTGCCACGCGCGAGAGAAACGAGGAAATAAAGGTGCGCACGGGCAGGGGGGAGGGGGTTGAAAAAGAGATTAACGATTTTTCAGAATTTACGATGCAGCCGCGCGGAATTGAGGAAAATGTAGCGCGAGCGACCGGCTGGCGAGGCTAGTAGGGCAAAAAGGTGGCAGGTCGATGACTGTCTCCCTGGCTGGATTTCAGCTTTCTGTTTCTCTTGCAGCGCGTCGCGTAACCTTCCGTTTCGCCGCGATGTCATTTTAATGATAGCGCCGCCAAGCACACATATCGCGCGTACTCTGCACGAGTATCGCCAGCTCGATGAATGA